CTGGAGGCTCAGGGACAGGAGCTCCTCTGGGTGTTGGGATCAGAAAACACTTGTAACTTCCCTGTTGTCTCTAAAGGAGGGGTCATGGAATGCTTCAAACCAAGCAGACCTGGCTGAACGCTGCAGGGCCCTTTGGAGAACCCACTCCTTTCACCAGGGATGGGAGCAGGAGGAGCGCCGGAGCCTGGGGAGCAGCCTCATGTGGAGAGCACCTGGGAACAGATCCAGTCCCTGCCGATGGGAACGCTGCTGCTGGTGGCTCAGCACCCACCCCAGGAGGATAACCCAGTGTGGGCTCGGTGACAGCCACTGCTGCGCCCAAACAGCCCAAGGGGGGCTCTGAGGAGCCCATCTCAGGAACGTGCCTTCAACACGGGAGAATCCTTCCCGGAACCAAGCAGCTCCAAGCTCTCAAAGCCATCTGGGTGTTACTTCATTTCATGTTCACACACAGGAAGGATCCGATAACTGGGAAGAGGCTGCCAAAGAGGTTTGGTTATAAATCACCATAGTTTAGTCCTCATTTGTCAATGCATATTCCAAATACCCCCCTTTCCTTGTAACAGCTTCCCTTAGAAATGCCAAGGTCCATCACCCCTTTCCCTTATTGCACATGTCCAAACTTAGGCCCACTGGGAATCATCCCACAGAGGGAACTTCCCTGAGCCACTAAACCAGCCCCAGGAGTACTTTGCTTATAGCAAAGAAAGTTCTCAGAATGAGAGATCCTTCATAGGTCATGGAATGGTTTGTGTTGGAAGGGACCTCAAAGCTCCTCCAGCTCCAACCCTGCCACGGGCAGGGACCCCTTCCACTGGAGCAGCTTGCTCCAAGCCCATGTCCAACCTGGCCTTGAGCACTGCCAGGGATGGGGCAGCCACAGCTTCTCTGGGCAACCACTAAAGGAGGGTGCAGGAGCTGTTGCCAGGAGCACGTAACTCACTCAGTGCTGCTCCAGATGAGCCAGTGAAGGCTGGGAAAGCGCTGCTGCTCATGCTAGTGAGAGCCACTTAAAGACAATGGATGTGTAAATGAAAGGAGTCCTAAAGAACCTGCATACCCTCAAAAAATGAGTACAGAAGGAATGAACCCTCGCAGTCTAACACCTACAGCCAGGTAAGGAGATGCACTCACTTCTTTTGGTCTATTTTGTCTTATAGAAGCTCTCTGCTGTTGCTAACTAGCTGGTCACTTTGGATAATGAACTGCAGCCAATGCACATCAGCTCCTGAAAAGCTGCAAAGCTCTGTAACCCCACTGACAACACAACATGGCATTACACACAGGGGAAGTAGCACAGCCGTGACTGCAGCAGCACCAAAGCCATGGCTCATCTCACTGTGAGGAAAGGGCTAGTAAGGAGGCCCACCTGAGTAACAGGCTGCCTGTGACAGCTCTGCTGTGCAGCATCAGTTCAGACACATGTAGCTGCTGTCATCCTGAGCCTGGCAGAGCAAGAGGTGAGAATAAGGAGCAAAGATGACTGACCAAATGCCTGTCAAAGACATGAAATGAAAGAGTGAGAGAGCCTGTGATGGAACTCAAAGCCATGCTTACAGGTGAAAAAGAAAGGAACTAACAATGCACCTAACAAAGTGAGAGCACTCTTCTCTAGGGAGATACTGGAGGTAGGATCACCAAGGTGTTAGACGAGCATAATCCCCCATCACAAGACAAAACTCTGCAGCAAGGCTCTGGAATCCTGTGTTCCATCAACGGCACCAACCCATCAGTGCCTTTCCCTCAGGAATCTCCGAAACCAACCCCGAGTGCTGCAGTGAATGCACTTACAGTGAAAGCATCTCGATGTATTTCTGGCAGCGGTTGCTTGCAGCGATGCGAGTGCCACACAGTCTGATGCAAGCTGGCTCCATGACCCCACAGCGCTCTATTTCTGTGCCACAAAACCCAGTGCCTGACACGCACGCCTTGGGTTTGATTCCTCTATGGCACAAAGGGAAAAAGTAAGCAAGAAACCCATGTTTCCAAAGGCAGTGCCTGCAGCAGGAGCTGCTCCCGCTGCAGCAGCTCTTCCTACTCAACACCCAGCAAAGTTCTACGTATTTACCTGCCATTAACCATGGAAGGAAGCCTTGAATTGAACAAACACTCTCCAAGGCTCCTGTGGAGCAAGAAGAAACTAAAACCCACCGAGGAATTTCATGGCTTATAAATGCCAGGTTTGTCTGCGGAATCTCCCTGGGATTGGAGATCCCAGTCCCTTGAGAGGCAGAGGGGAACCAGCACGAAGGCGTGCGGAGACGTGTTTGGTTCTGGTTTAAATGCACTCAGCTCCTCCCCCCTTCTGACATTCCTGTTCCTGAGCCAGCGGCTCAAAGTCACACAAGGTTGTTCTCCTCTACTTGCTTATTTTCTCCCCTCCTCTCTCATGCTTCTACCACCAGACCCCAAAGGGGAAGGGAGAATCCCTCCCTTCCGCACATCTTTAGATGTAGGGCAGCTGCCTGCTTGGAGAGAGGAAGGGCATCTCCTGACCAAGACCCGGGCTGGCTGTTGGCAGGTCTCAAGGAAGACATGAGACAAGGAAGCTCGTACCAAGCACACAGAAATGGGAAGACTCCACTGTCACAGGTAAAACAGAGGAACACTCACCCATCCAAGACACATCCTTTGGAAACAGGCACCACATTTGCTGTGAGGTGACAATCCTGACATCCAGTTCCTGTGAAGGGCTCCTGCAAGCCACAGAGCCCCAGCCTGGTTTGGGTTGGAAGGGACCTCAAAGCTCCTCCAGCTCCAACCCCTGCCACGGGCAGGGACCCCTTCCACTGGAGCAGCTTGCTCCAAGCCCCTGTGTCCAACCTGGCCTTGAGCACTGCCAGGGATGGGGCAGCCACAGCTTCTCTGGGCACCCTGTGCTTCCAGGAGAAGAGGGATCAGCTTCAACTCCACCTGCCCCTTGGTGGTGATGGTGAAAGGCTGCTCAAACAGGCTCTGAAGAGCTCACACATTGTCATTTGGACTCCTGAAGCTCCCTATTTTAAGTAAATGAGTTACGACTCCACCATATGCAAGAGCACAACAGTGTAAAGTGAGCACTTCTTGTGCTAAGGAATGCCCAAGCTGTTCTTGAGCACTACAGATCCCTCCTGCCTTTAGTCACTTCCCTGGCAATGTCTCACCACGGTGGGGCTGGACTCACACATACAGCACTGATACTAGAACCCCAATAGACATTCATAGATCAAACCATCTCAGGGTCCCCACTACAAGACTTTGGAGCCCTGTTTTGTTTGTATGGGCTGGTGATCACTTACACTGAAGCCTTCAGATCTCACTGACCACACACAGGACCACAGCAAGTTAATCTGGCTGCTGCCCAGGCTCCTTTTCCCTGGCATTTGTACCTCTCTTCCAGCGTCAAGTATCTATCCCTCTGCTAAAGGCAGCAAGCACTGGAGCTCTCATTCCATAAATACTGTCCCACTGAGCACTGGCACCGTTATCCATGTTCCCACGTCACTCTGCAGAAGGTGGAAGGAAGAAAAACACCTATCAGTTGTCAAGGAAGACACAACTGGCCCAAGCCCTCATTTCACTGCCAACAAATCCCACGGGATAGTTTTCAACCAGAGCAATGAAGTGCTGATCACAGGCAGGACCTTGGAAGGGTGCCATGGCAGAGGAGCAGCAGGATCCCAGAGGAACGGCTCTATGGCCCCAAAGAGCTGCAGGATAAACATGTTTATATATCATATATATTTACACATTTATATATATATGTGTGTGTGTGTGTGTATATACACATCATACTACTTCCAGTAAGGCCTAAGACAAGGAAGCTGCCCATTTCTTCTTAGGGGAAGACAAAGGCCTAACACTTGTAATGCAAACTCAGATCAGTCAAGGAATGGCATGTACAATAGTCCTGTAACAATGACACTTGATCAAGCACAGCTTCAGTATTCGTTATTCAGGAGTTAACAGCCATAGAGAAGCAATACTGACAGCTGAGTTACTGCAGGGCTGATGATGTGCATTGAGTAACACCCCAGTTCCCTCAAGCCAGATACAGATTAGACAGGATAATTTGGGTCCAAAATGCAGTATTTCATCTCATTGGAAAAATCCTGGATGTGCCTCCTGGCCCCAGGGCACAAACCTGCAGCTTCTCAGTGACTCAGTGGACAAGAAATGGAGACCTCATAGCAGCTTCCAGTATCTGAAGGGGGCCTATAGGGATGCTGGGGAGGGACTCTTCATTAGGGACTGTAGTGGTAGGACAAGGGGTAATGGGTTAAAACTGAAACAGGGGAAGTTTAGATTGGATATAAGGAAGAAGTTCTTTACTGTAAGGGCGGTGAGGCACTGGAATGGGTTGCCCAGGGAGGTTGTGAATGCTCCATCCCTGGCAGTGTTCAAGGCCAGGTTGGACAGAGCCTTGGGTGCCATGGTTTAGAGTGAGGTGTCCCTGCCCATGGCAGGGGGTTGGAACTGGATGATCTTAAGGTCCTTTCCAACCCAAACCATTCCATGATTCTATGCCTTTTCCACAAGTTCAAAGTGATTCGTTTTCCAAAAGCAGGGAAAGGAACAACTGCAGATACATCCAGACTGCAGATACATCACTGCTGCTCTCTCCTCCAACAGCACCAATTGCCCCATTAAGGCAAACCACAAAGATCCCCCACTTCTTAAGAGGTGAGAGCCTCTATACTGTACCCAGCCAACTGCAGCTTCTCACTTCCAAACTATTTCAGCACAACCTCCTCTAGGTATAAACCAGGGGCACATTTAGCTTAGCTAGTAAAGCCTTTTGAGAATGTTGGGGTTGATTTGATTTGGTTTTAGAGCTGCCACAGAACTTTAAGATCACAGAATCCCAGCCTGGTTTGGGTTGGAAGGGACCTTAAGGCTCATCCAGTTCCAACTAGGGGGAAGTGGGTTATGATAGATATTCTGAATGAAAACTGAAAGCATTTAAACATTAAAACCAGAATCTGCTTGGCTCTAACAAAGTGCACAAACAGCAACACACATTTATTTCTCCATTTATTGGCACTTATTTGAAAAATAGCATAAATATTCAACAGAACAGAGAGGAGCTGACCCCCACGGAACTATCAAACCCTCCCCTGGTGCATCTTTAGAAGACTGGAAGAGACACCAGGAGGTTCATTCTTCTGCAAGATGTTTAAAACCCCATCTTGCCCTCCCCACAGAAGAGTGAACACACAGCAGCTCTTTGGCACATACTCGAAACTGCAAAACCAAACTGTGCTGTATTAGAGGGAGCCAACAGACACAAAACACAAGCTTGTCCATCCGGCACAGGGATGAAGGGCAGTTGGGTTTTGAAAGGGAGCTGCAATCAGGAAGTTGGCTATTAGAATAATTTAAGAGGAATGAAATGAGAAGTAAACCATGTCATCTCTTACTTGAACTGAGTCAAACTATTAAATACATTCTATCTTCTCTCTACAATAAGGACATACGGACACTGGTCGCTGGCCCTCAGGTCACCAGGTCTTTGCACTCCAAGTTGTCCATTTCTACTCTTGATGGCTGCTGTCAGGCAAAGCTTCATCCATCTTTCACAGCAGAGTTCAGGCTTTTCTCCTACTTGAGGAAGTCTCCACACTTCTCACCTTACTACACAGACCAAAGGTTTAGTGTTAAAAAGAAACCATTTGGCTTCATTATTAACCTCTCTGGAGGGAAGGCTTGAACCCTCACAGTACAGATGCACACGCACGTGCAAACAGGGACCCAGCTGGGGAAGTTCAACTGGGTAACAGGAGTCGACAACCAAAAGGAGGTTGTCACTGGAAAACCTGAAACCAGCTGCTATGGTGGGGTTTGCAGGTTCTCCTCCTGTTTGGGGAATTCCCAAGTTGAGATCAGGATGTCTCAACCCACTGACTTTTCCAATATAGTACAAGAATCCTAAAACCTCTTTGCAATCAGCATCTGAAGTTCTCGACAGCAGAAATAACTCAATGCCACTGTTGGAGGAAGCGACAGCAGGAGATGAAACACAGATTAAACACGTCTGATCTCCTCAGCCTGTATAAAGGCATTCAAGATTCCTCTCTGTATTTGCCCAACAAAAGCCATGTATGGGAACAAATACTGCCTGTTAACGCGTTTCTGAAGCACTCATTACTAAAACCTCAGGATTTAATGTTTTGTTCCAAACATTATTACTATATTTCCTTATTAAAAGACCTTTAATAGAGCTCCTACCACTCTAATAAGTCATCTACATGGGGAAGAATACAAAAATACAAACCCCCAGCAGAATGTTCCCCACCTAATCTGAATTTAGCCACAAGAGCAGTCACGATCATGAACAAAATCCATCATATGAATTTAAGTTGGCAATTCACCAACTTGTCCTTTTGACATCTATTAGAGCACAGGATTGAATAACAGCCAATCATCATAGAACACAAGAATCAGTTCCCCCTCCCAATATTCCCTATTTTATACGAAGAACAAAAAGGATAAATATGTAACACTCCTGGAATAAAAACAACTTAGTAAAAGCTGCTTTGCTGGCTTCAGACTGAGGACAAGTGTGAAAGTTATCTGCTACTACACAAGCACCACGTTATATTAGTGAGGATGCTGCCTGGCAGCTGTTGGAAAGCCAAGAGTTCCACAAGCAGAATGTACATAGAATACTTGTAACTTACTCCAACAAGACAACATCCATTGGAGATCAACAGCTTGCTCACTGATGTTAGCATCAAATATGTTTGCGATTCAAATGCTTACTGTATTGTAGTAAGCCTCATACAAATCACTAGAAATGTGAATTCCTCCTCAAGGAACTATTCTGGAAGTTTTCTAGAAATCATGACATTTCTGGAAGTTCCTATGAGGAACAGAATCAGTTACACACAACAGAAAGTCTTATTGATGTCCAGCCTGTTTCCTGGTGTCCATTAGCAGACTTCTGCTTCTCAATTGATGGGTAACTTAGCCGTGAGATCTACTGGTAAAAAAGGAGATCTGGAGTCAGAAAGTGAGACTGGAGAGTCTGTATTGGTGCCAACTTCAGCTGGTGAGTCACAGGAAGAGCCTGCACTGCTCCTGTTGTCATCGAGAGCATGTGACGACAGACTGGCAACAGAGGAACAGCAAGTTAGGAGAAATGAGGTACTCCAAGTTCCAGATACTAGCTTCCCCTCATTATAAGGCTATTTTAGAACATCTCTGAAGGAACAGTAAGCCCTATGGTTTGAAATAAAGCTGCAACTACAAGCTGCACAATCACTTCCAGACAGGCAGATAACATTCAGCCCACCTCCTTCAGCTTACCCAGGAATGGTGTACAGATTAGAAAGCATAAGGCTGAGGAAGTAATCTCAAGCTTTACCCCATCTCCTACAACATCCTGGCCTAGCACATACCCAGAGGCCTCTGTCATGGGGAGAGCTGATGATAAACTGTACATACTTCAGTTGTACCATTAAGTACTCAGAATTACACCTGATGTGATCTATCACCAGCAATAGCAAAGTGATTTTTAAAATTACCATCTCCTAAACCAAGATGCAGCCATGACCCTGCACTGCTGTGCCTATTGGGAATAAGAGTGCTAGAAAAGCTACCTTTAAAACACCCATGTTACTGTTGCCACTGCTATGGCTCAAAGGTTGTGCACAGCCATGTGCATCAGCTGAGAGGCAAGGACAGAAGTGCTGTGAACAAGCCTGTGTGCATAGTTCTGTGGGCACACCCTATGTCTTATGAACCTCTTGACTGAAATACTAAATCAAAATCCCTTGCTATTTCAAGTTGTTATGATTTTTAACACAGTATTTTTATCTCCCCCTGGCAGGGAGGAGCGGAACCAGTTTTCCTATGTGACTAAGAGCAAGGAAAATAAAAGAGAAGGAAGAAAACCCCCAGTCCACCCCCAATGGGGGTGTGTTACGTTCACATTTGATTGCAACTTGAAACTAGACTCAAGGACTTGTCAGCCATGAGATATCTTTTCCTAAACGTACTCAACTCCCATTTCAATGAAGCACATTAACAGCCTGTCTAGAAACTGTACATTGTAGTGAACAGTGCTGCCTATTGACTGTGGTGATTTCACTGCTGCAAAATGAGATATCTGTACTTAAAAAAACCCAAAACAACGTCAAGCACAATCACTGCTAGATGAAGAGAGACCTGTAATGCTCCTGATGATACGGACACAATAAATAGCACAGCATTTACCATCCGCCAAGGTCTGCCTGATGTGAAACCTCAGGGCTAAGCATGTTGGTGGATCCTTGGAATAATCTTTTTGGATGATCTTCTATCTCCATTACACCTTTGGTAAGAGATAAGGAATGATAAAACATTGCCAGTCATTGCAACTAAAATCTACTTTCAGTGAACAGCAAACAGAACAGAGGTTCAATCTTACACAAGAGCATGAGCGTTATTTTAGATGTAAACCAGAAATTTCATGCTGAAATTTTAAAGACTGTTTCTTGGCAACATTTTAGTCCAAACTTCAATAAAATTTAGTGAATTATGAACTGAGTTTAGATATCAGGTATTTATTCTTCTTTTTTTTCCAGTTTATTCAGCTATCAGTTCACCGGCTGGATCCACCAAAGCAGAGAAGCTGACAATAAGGAAGCTTGTTTTCCTCTTGCAATCAATAGAAACAAGGTTCAGGATTATCACTAAACTTATGCATTGATTTTGACTTCCAAATATTCTAGAAGAAGGGAGGATAAATACATGCTTAAACAGGCTATGACAGAACTCAGATAAAAGTTGTCTCGGAGACAGAGTGTCCTGTTACAAAGGTGAAGCATGAAGATATAAAAACAGATGCAATAAAATAACCAGAAGTTAAACTTGAATAAAAACATAGGGAGATTGGGAAACATTTACCAATAAAGCAGTAAAGGTGTCTATACAAGGTCTCTGCATCAGCTTTTGGTTCTGAAGGGTGATTATTACTCTATAGTACCTGTGTGCTGTGTTATCCAGGACTTCCAAAACGTTTTACTTGGTAATATACCAACAATTGTATTTCTTGTTTTGTTAAGCAGGTTACATCCATTTTTTATCAGATCTATATGACTACAGAGGAGTCTGTTATGATCATTATGTTATCAGGTATATATATATGATCATTATGTTGTCAGATATATAGGAGTCTGTTATCATTATGTTATCAGATCTAGACGACTATACAGACATAATGGAGAGCCATTAGAACAGAACAACTATTAGTCTTATAGAAGAGTAAAAACTAATTTAACAATCTGTTTTATCTCTGTAATCAGTTCTATTTATTTGGTCCCCTGTAATACCTTCTATTTCTAGGCACTCTTTCAAGTATCAGGCAATTGAACAGAATTATGAGGAAAGCTATATTCTATTTTTAATTGATAAAGTTCACAAGCTGGCCTATTACATCAGCCCAAAGCAAATACTGTACCTTTTCTTTTTATTGACCCCAGAACACTTGGTCGAATGCAGTTAATTGGACTCTGGCTTCTCCTGGTAAAAGAAGGCATATGCTGTACTGATAGCCATTAACAAAGGAAGCTTGAAAACATGTAAAGCATTAAGAGATGCTTGGATAACAAACTACTAAGTGGAAAACACTAAGAAAATAGGCATTGTAACAGCTTATACAATGAAAGTGTCATGTCCCCCCCTTTGTTCATGAATATATAAAGTTGTATTTGTGATCAGAAATCAATTGTGTCTGTAACAAATTCTGGGGTTTCAAAAGCCTTCTGTGAACAAGCTAGTCTGATTTCCTATTATTGATATGATCTGGTACTGACCTTGAAAATCGCCGTGTTGGACTTGGGCTGGGACTTGGGGGTAACCCACTGCTGCTCACCAAGCTTTGCAAAGATGGTGAGAAACATTGCTGAGAGGAAAACAGCTTGTGTTATTTATGTATAAACACCGTATCACACCCATACAGTAACAACTGATCCTTACTGGGGGTAAGTAAGCAACCCATTATTGTTGCAAGCACCCAGTCAACAGGGCTGGGTATACCCAGATACTTCATCACTGAGAACAAAATACCCTAAAATTGGAGATTCCATTTTCATACAGAAAACATGCAGGTTGACAAGGATTTATTTCGCTGTAGTTGAGTTAAATGGCTTTAACTTTAGGCCAGAGGGGAGACTGAGATGAGCTCCATTCCATGACTCTGAAAACAGCCATGTACACTCCTTCCTCTTAATTCCAAGAAGAAGGCAAATAAAGAATAAGTTTTACTAACCACATATTAACAGTTGAACACCCCACAGAATTTCACACCCACAAGATGTGCATCTGCTGGTTGATATTTTCTGGTTTAGGGCTTTAGGGGTGGTTTTGTTTCTTTATTCTAGTTTCTTGTTTGCCACTGAGGCAGAAAGGAGCAGGTGGCTTCATCTTTTGCTACCAATTTGGTTGGATTTATTTAGCACTGTTCAAGATAAACCCATTATTACCACATTTTGCTCACCTTCCCGATTCCTCTAGTAGGTGAAGGAGCTGGAGAAACTGGGACAAAGTCCACTTGCTTTGGTGATGAGGATTTCTCAAAATCATTGTCAGTCTGGAAACAGTACACAGAATTAATCTTAGGAGTAAGTTCCTTACCATGAAAAGGGCTGATTGGTGTGGAACTGAGTACAATTCCAAAGTTATCCTCCACCACATTAAACACTTTTAGGTAGCCATTTATGAGCTCATGCTTAACAACAACTAAAAAGCCTTAAACATCATTAGGCAAGTATCAGAATATGGAAGAAAATTTGAACAGGCAGGCATCCACGCAACTTTCTTTGCATGGATGCAAAGGAACCCACATGTATCCTCAAACAACTGACCATCCTATGCCTTGTTAGTGTGGAAAAACTGCTGATGAAAAGCAGCAATATACAAACACCTTAAGTGTAGATCAAGCTAATAAAGGAAATGTTGACATGAGAGTCCCTAGTGTCCTGATACTGACAACAGAAACACAAATTGAAGCATGAATGCATTACCAGGCTCAAGCTCTCCTCCCATGAGTGGCTCATCTGCATTGCTACTTGCACTTCTCTATAAAGAAGAAAAGAAATGCATTGTCCCAGGCCCATAGTAGACTTCATGAAGCATCCCAGTTCAACTTGATGCTTACCTTTCATGTACTGTTTCTCTATTCAGCAAATTCATTCCTTCTTCCTAAAAGATGAAAAATGAAGATAAACATAAAAAAAAGCACTTTCCTACAGCAAATCAGCTCTAGTTTCATTTCACTCTGCTATGCAGCAAAACTAATCGAACTCAGTTAAGCAATAATAACCTCAAGCTCTCACCACATGAAAAGGAGTAAGGGGAAGAGGATGGGTAAGAGATGTAGCAAGAGAGACCATCACATAAGAAATGCTTATAGGAGCTGGTTGTTCCTCAAGCAGTGTTTTTGTTTTCATTACTATCCAAGAAGTAGTTACAAAACTGAACGATGAAGCAAACCTTCTGCTCATGCTGGAGTATCTTTAGGCATGGTGTTATTTCACAAAATGGAAACTAGTACAAATCATCCTCAGAAGCATGGCTGGATTCTTACCCTATTCTATGGATGAGTAACTAACCAGACACCTATCATCATTTCATTTGCAATACAGTGCATTGTACACAATGCATTTGGGATTTAGTGTTTTGGTCCTAAACCATCAAAAAAATAGCATTAAAATGGATCAGAGATGTAAAATCACACTGAACATTAACACCAAGTTAGAGCACAAACCTGACTATTGATCTCCTCTTAGGTAGCCACCATTCCTCCAAACTAACTGAATGCTGCTCAGTCTGGTGAGTGAATGAGTAGATTCCCTAATTCAGCCCAAGAATAGAAGTTCAACAAAACATCTGCAGATGTTACTAACAGTAACATGGTTCAACCGTGTGATTATTTGGTAAGATTTGAAAGAGATCACAAGTAAATCACACAGGTTCCCATCTGTGCCAGGAAACATATAGGCTATGGAATTCCAACTTGGGTATGCAGTGATCAAACACAAATTAGGAAACGTCACCGTTGGTTTAATAATTGTATGGAACAAGTAGGAATACACATATATTTTCAAAAGAACTGGATTATCAAACTTTAACTTCATGTAATATAGCAGAGCCACAACAGTTAATTCTATGATTCAATCCCCTGCTCTCACCACACTTGCATATTAATCCTATGCTTTTTTATGCAGATAAAAACAACCCTACAAATGACCCGAGTGCTTCAGTCTCTTGAAACCAGTAGATTATTTCCATAATGCAAGCAAACAGTTATTTTCTTCAGGATTACTGTGCATACACCTTCACTATCTGAGATGGGAAGCAAAATGCCTTCCATCGCTTCAGGAATCAGACCCTGAAAAAGCTGCCTGAAGCATTAAATTGCTTTCTTAACTTTTCACCCTGTAAAAATCAAGCCTACCCATTGAAAACAAGCAAGCTAAAAATATATATGTATATAAATAAAACCAAGCATCTTCAAGGAAATCTTATAAACATCCTACTGTCAAAAAGTAGGCATAGGAAATGGAGGAGCCACAAGATTCTGAGCTTGTTGCTTTGAAAACTTGAGTGGTTTGACTGTGGGCAGCAGTGCTATTTAAGCCTACTCAGATATCAGCCACCTCCCCAAGTGTTTGCTCTGGTACCCTTCCCCCTCTGCTCATGCTGTGATAGCACAAGTGCCATAATCTGGATAATTATACAGATGAAAGACCAGCAAGAAGAGCCCAAACTTATTCTTTTAGCCTCCTTACCCAGTCCATTTTCTGGCTGAACAAAAGTCTTGTGTCAGAGTTAAGGAAGACTTTGCATTGGCTGTGAATCTTTATGCTGGCACCACTGCCAAAACCTTGGTGAAACTTTACCCTAAGGGTTTACATGAACGATTTCCTTTCTAAAATGTCCATTTTCAGACTCCTCTTTCTGCTCAAATCTCCTTCTCACTGTAAGATTCATGGAATTTGGAGCTATGCAGACAGGATCCAGCTTTTACTTTTAGAACACCTTGAAGTGACACTGCAGACACAGTTTCAAAGTAAAATCAATTGTCACCCGAAGGACATTATACATTAACTGCAAAAATCCCCAACCCCCTATAAAAAATGTAAAATTAAATAAAACTGACTCAGAACCTGTGCTTACCTGTTTGATTTGATGAAGACGGCTGCTGGGAATACGGATAGGTGATGATGGCACAAACTGCAAAACAAAGCCATATACAACTGAGACACACTTAGAAATTACAGAAGGGAGGGAAAGGCACAGGAATGTCAGTACCCACTCCATAGGGCTATCTCAGATCAAGAATAAAGAACTAAAACGTTCATAGTATATAGGAACTACACCAGTTACTTGCAAGAACATGATGCTAGTTGGCATCAGCCTGGATTCCACTTCTCTACAGAATAAAGCTGCTTTTGAGTAGCACATTATCACCCTTAATGTACATTGTTGCATAAACTTTTTCACTGAAGTGATCCAGAATATTTTAAGTGAAACAGAAGGCTCTTCAACAGATCATAGGATCCCAGACTGGTTTGGGTTGAAGGGTCCTCAAAGCTCCTCCAGCTCCAACCCCTGCCACGGGCAGGAACCCCTTCCACTGGAGCAGCTTGCTCCAAGCCCCTGTGTCCAACCTGGCCTTGAACACTGCCAGGGATGGGGCAGCCACAGCTTCTCTGGGCACCCTGTGCCAGCACCTCAGCACCCTCACAGGGAAGAGCTTCTGCCTTTAAAAATCCAAAGCCAAAACACAATGTGCAGAAAGGCTTCTGGATTGTTGTCTCCCTACAAATGCCTACTTTGACAGCTGAAAGAATCAGCTATTAGAAGGCTAACAAGAGTTAAATATCTTCCTTAGGGTTTCTCAAAATTTCTTCAACCAATTCGGGTGAAGTCAGAGAGGATGTCACTAGAAATGGTCTTCTGATAATTCTGTCCATTTTGCATCAAGCTCTCACTGGAATGCTGTGATCTAAAACAGCATGCTCAAACGCAAGCAATTAAAAGAGATTATTTTCTCAAAATATAATTTATTTTCATGTATTTCCCATCCCTTAAATGTTCACCCCTCAGTTGACTTTTGTTATTAACCCATTCAGGGATCAAAACCTCAAAGCTAAAGCTGTGACTAGAGGTTTAACCTCTCTGTAAGCTGACAAGGTATCTTCTTAAAATGGATCCAGTGTGTTCAGCAAGTAAGGTTTGCATTATTACTGAGTGTTTCTATGCTTTATGCAGTAGGAGGCTTCATCTGCTTCACAAAACATTGCCAGAGCTCTTCATCGTGCTCAACCTGGAGAGCTTATGAACATTCAGTTAACCATTTACTGCACCATCTTCTCGTCAGTGCCACGGAGAACACAGAGATTCTGCTGCCTTACACAAGAGGTTATGGTAAGTTATCATAGACTATTAATGCTTCATATATCCAGAATCCTCCCTCTAAGCCAAATATCAAGACTTCACACCCTTCTCACAAAAGATGCTAGCTTATCTGACTCACAAGAGGATGTTTCAATGTTTCTGCCAGAATGTACTCATCTTAATATATACCAGCAAAGTCTAACAGCTATAACGTTATGATTTGCTACTTCTGAAGTCCAGTTTAGGTCAGTTTTGCTGTTATAATGGATAGGCTCCTTAAAAGCCTAACAAAAATTCCTCCAAGCTGTACCAGCCAATGTGGACCTTGAGGTGACCTTGATTCTCACACAGAGAAAAGGATTTGAACAGTAGTAGTACATTCCTGCCTATTCACTAGGGCACTCCACAGTAAAATGGACTTGTTCCACTCATTATGTTCTAATTTTATGAGTGTGGTCCACATGTTTAAGGTTTGACATTAACAAAATACATACAAAACCAGTGGCTTGCAGTATAAAATAGAAATCCTAAAAAGACACTCAGTTTTCCTTTTCAGGACCTAGCGCAGTAACTAAACTCACCAACTCTGTGGATCCTGCATCTTGTTACCAACAAGTCACCACCTTTCTTTGTCAATGCTAAAAGCTTTCTTTTCTCTTGTTTACAGTCCTTTGATTTAATTATTGTGAAAAGAAACCTCAGTCCTTCTTAAAGCAGATTGAACTCACTGGGGAAATGATGCTACTCAAATCTCCAGTGCTTTGAGAGCACAAAGCTTAACGAAAGCCATTACAAATTATTAAGACTATGAAAGGAAAGAGACACCTTCCCCATTGCCCTTCTCCAGTATGTCAGATAAATCTTTTTCCCTGAAGGTAAAGTTTCAGAGGGACCACTGCCAAGGCAACAGGCACCTGCTCTGGCACCTCTGCCCTTCCACTGCTGTTCCTCCAGTGCCCCCTGCCTTCTGCCAGCACAAGCATCTGTGGGGCCACACAGTGAACCCTGACAGGGAGCTGACTGAGCTGTACAGAGAATAAACAAAGAAAATGCTGAAATAGCACCTAAACATCTAACCACAGGCTAAAATGCTTTGCTTAAACAACAAAACAAGATCCCCAACCACACAAATGAAACAGAAACCACTGAAACATTTACTCACTAGGTGTCACTGCTCTTTTTTTGGACAGAAACGAACAGCAAGACACTGAGTCTAGTTGACACTTCCTTGGCAATGACAAGTAGTGACAGAAACCTGCAGGTTAAACCCCAGGCAAATGGTGCAGCTGCCCCTGCAGACATTATAAAAGATATCTATGTAGATATATAGAGCTATATTATCAAAGAGATATAATGATATCATCCTCTGTGATGATGGTGAGGCACTGGCACAGGTTGCCCAGAGAAGTGGTAAACGCTCCATCCCTGGCAGTGTTCAAGGCCAGGCTGAACAGAGCCTTGGGCAACATGGTCTAGTGTGAGGTGTCCCTGCCCATGGCAGGGGTTGGAACTGGATGATCTTAAGGTCCTTTCCAACCCAAACCAGTCTGTGATTATATGATTCTATCACTGTTGTTGATTACAACAGTCTATTCTGTCATTACTATATAAAATACAATTTAAGACAAGAGTATCACCACCTGGCTTTTTTAACCATCAGAAATGATTAACACAGTGAATACTGAACAACAATACATCTACATAATCAGTTTTCCTTACAGGCTACTTTTCTTATTCTTTGAACACCTGTTTGTATTTCATGAAGTTATGATCAGAATGAAATGCAAGTACCCAAGTTTCTTAAAGTCCTTTCCAACCTTAACTCTAACCCTTTCCAAGGCCCAGTGGTCTATAAGTAACATTACACTATAGGTACAGTGCATTAATGTCAGAGTTAGAGCCTTGTTTCTGAAAACATGTGCTGTTAGTTTCACAGACTACAACCTCATTTTCTCCTTTAACCCTGCTTGGACCTAATGCAGTTGGTTTAACAGTTTCCTTACCAGACTGTGACGATTCATCACTGTGGTGCTGTTCCTGCGGGTCCGCAGAACGCTGGCCTGGAACACTTGTGAGTTATCACTGTGAAAAGAAACACTTGTCAGATGCAAAACCCATTTCCTTCCTAGCAAAAAGCACCTCTTAATTGAAGCTCAGTTTCAAATGCTATGACAGCTCTCATTTCAAGACAGAGCACTCCAGAGACAGGTATGGAAGAACTCCTGCAGGTTGTTGGCACAGAGTGAAAAGCAAATTGTTCTTTCTTCAAGTCCCAGCTACTTTAATTCATGATTTTAATTAATCACCCTCTGTCTTCAGAATAGCTCAAAACCTGTAAAGACTGATGATCTCTGTGGGAATTTCTGACATTTGGAATGCCTGCAACTTGCATTATTCAACAGAATGAGGTTATAAACGGTATTTAACCAGTGGCTGAAGCCAGATTCAATGCTACATAAAAAATAGGACAAAAAAACCCCCGAACCAGTATCTTGATAAATCTTATCACTATGAACATTTAATTAAAGTGCTAAATGCTTTTTGTAAATGAGGTTAAATTTAACCTACAATAAAAGCATTTTTTAAAGCCTTAAGGCTTTTGACCACACTCATTGCTTCTCTAACCGAGAAACAGCATGTAAGTTAAATAACACAGGGTTAGTTATTTGATATAAAAGAGACTCTTTTTAAGAGGGAGAGGAAAAAACCCTGCAAATATCCTTACTTTTAATCTCCCTTGCAAAAGCTGGTCAGATCACACACCTTTCACAGAAAACACTCACAGTTCCCAGTAAAAATCAATCTTATTTGGCACGAAAAAAGAGTCAAAAGTTCTGTGAAATGTAACTTCCATGACCTCAAACATTCCACTTCAAAGTGTTCTTTGGCTCTACAGTAACTCACTCTCCAAGCTCCTTACTAAGTCTGTTACTGAAGAAGTCAAAACAGGAGGCAGAGCAGCAAAAGCTGTTCAAGAGCTTTTGTTTCAGTTTACCCAGTGAAGCCATTCTGGGAAAGAAAACCCTTAAGTTTCTTGCCAAGAGCTGCGATCTTGCAAAAACAATATTCTGCTGGAAAATTCCTAACAAGCAAAACACTGCAACCACCTCAAATTAGCTCCATGGCATTTCAGCTCCCTAATATACACACCTAATGTATGGTGTATGCATAGTGTTAAGGGAAGAGCTCAGGCACAGCGTGGTTATGGGATGCCTTTTTTAAGGAGTCAAGGGTCTCACAGTTTGTAACTTACAAAAGGATGAGATTATAAAAGCATCTCATCTCAGTCACATAACCAGTTTACCTGCTCAGCAGTCTGCCTGAGGAATGACTGCCATTCCCAATAGCTGTGTACTGCATCAAAACGGAAACTGAGAGTTGTTCCTTTACAATTATCACTACATACAGTGAATATTAAAAGAATCACCGTGTTTACTTAGCATTAAACTATGACTGCAAAACCAATAATATTTCCTCTGAACTGTAATGAACTGTTAATCATTTTGGTACAAAATGATTTATGAGGTTGGCTCAGCACTTGATACCTAGCACCTTACAGAGACATGAAGTTTAAACAGGTTTGTTGGGGGGGAAGTACCCATGAATTATACTGTTTTACAAAGCTTATTGTCAATAAACTCTCCCAAGCTGCAGGCATACTACTAGGAGCAGCATGTGACCCACCTCAAATAGCCACACCATGTAGAAGTGGGCATCTCCCCACTTCACAACAACCCAGAGAAGACAAGAAATAGTGCGTTATCAACACCCAAACACAAAGCTATACATGAGACCCGAGAGCTTTCCCCGTCTCTGCCCTGTCAGCTAAAGGCAAGCATCCAATCCCCCTTGCAAAACCCACCAGTCAGAGGCCGATGGCAATAGCCAAGCACACTTACCTACATGTGTCTCTCCCAGTATTACACAGTAACAAAATGAGTATCATCCAGACAAACTCCAGGCCAACTGAAGTAATATTTTACACTAAATGTAAAACTTGTGCATCCTCCAACGTCCCTTGAAGCGATCTTCCTAAATTCACCCGACTGTTCTGAAAGGATTTACTGTTTATAGTCACATACGGTACAGCGACTTGGGTGGTTTTGGGGTCAGCCCCGAACCCTTAAATCAGAGCGATTGCTACTTTATAGCAACAGCCACAGCCTTGCCCCTGCACACTGCGTGCTCCTCAGCTACACAACACACGGCAAACCTACATATACACATACACATACACACACAGAGCCTGACCGGCGGCACCGGGCCGGGCCGGGCCGCGCTCACCTGAGCCCGTGGATGAGCGGGGCGCTGTTGGATCTCCTCAGGCCGCCCCCGTCGCTCGGGGCCGCGGCGCTCCCCGGCGGCAGCTCCAGGTCCAGCTCCATTTTCTCCTGAGCCATCGCGGCGGCGGCGGCCGCGCCTCCGGCTCCGGCTGCTCCCGCTCCGCCGCGATGCCCATTCACTGCCGGCGGCCGCAGCGGCTCCTCATGCCGCCGCTGCCCCTGGCCCCTACAGGCCTCGCAGGCGGCGCCGCAGGCACAGGCCGGGGGCGCGCCGGGCCCGGCGAGGGGGGCGGCCCCAGCAGCGACCCATGCCGGGGGAGGCCGGGGGAGGACCGGAGGGCTTCGCCTTCCCTCACCCGCTGCTGCCGCCACACGGACGCACTCGCACTCCTCGCTCCGGTGCGGCCGCCTCAGGCCTCGAGCGCCTCAAGCCCACCGCCGCCGCCGCTCTGTGCGCCTGCGCCACAGGCACCCCTCGGCAGGGCGCATGCGGGAAGCGCTCCCGGTTCCCCGGGCTCGGTGTCGCCGGTGCCGCAGCTCGCTGGGCCCTGCGCCCGGTGCGGCCTCCGCGCTGCTGTGTCCGCCGAGCCCTTCAGGCGAGGACAGCCACAACCACCGGCAGACGTGAGGCCGCATGGACAGGAGCGGCCTCGCCGCTGAGGTGAGGTGACCCGGCCCCGCCAGCCGCACTGCCCGCCTGGGGCCCTCTCCGGTGGCGGGACAAGTACAGCAGCGGTGAGAAAGCTTAAAGATGCCTTTGTCCCCTCCCCGGGGCTGCCCGACCCGGCTGCGGCCTGTAGGAGATCCCATTTGCCCCGCCATGGAGCTTGGCTCTGAGGCACAAGTAGTCCCTGCTGTACCCCTGTTTTGCTCTGCCATAGCAGCTTCTGCCCACTCAAATCTAAACGTGTGTGTGCAGAACAATTCAACAATAAAGTTGAAATGGTGAAAAATCCTCACTTTTCTGTCTTAACTATTTCTGTACCTAGTGCTCTGGAAAAATAATTGCTGTTTCACAGGAGAAAATGGAAACTTTTATGAATTTGGTGCTGGTAGAGACCCTGAAGATCTCCTGCGCGTAAGAGACAAATGTATATTGTAATTGTTATTATAGAAAAATACTAGAAAATAAGAGTCTGGAAGCACAACATTTTGCTACTTGGAATGGAATTGTAAATGTCATCCCGATCCCCAAATGCAGCCAAGAACTAGAATTTTGGGTCTTGTAACGAACTTTATGCTGGATTTCTGACAGCAGCATGGGGGCTCAGAACCCCAGCACGTTCTTCAGTGGCATAGCAGAACGCGACTTCAGCTGAAGAGCGAGAACCTAACCCTGAGCAGGGTCCCAAAGGCTTTTTTCACCGCTCCTCTGTCGGGGCAGACCCAGCTAAGATCGGATCACTGTTATGGCCACCCTGGCACTCGAACCCGCGGCCCTGCAGACCCCGCCCCCGTGTCGGTCTCCTAGCACCCCCTGTACCGTTTCAAACGGGCGCCCCGCCCGCTCAGCCGTTCCGCGCGTGCTCTGCCGCTCTCGGGAGCGCGCACGCATCTGGCGGGATGGCGCCCTGTAGGGCATGCGCAGTGCCGCGGTGCGGCCGCGGGACGCATGCGCTGTGTAAGGCGGGGAGCGCTGCCTCCGCCCGGCTTCCCGCGCATGCGCGCTGGGCGGCGGCGGGCGCGTGGAGGGGAGTGCGGCCCGAGGCGCTCCGAAGCCGGAGGCGGCCTCACTGGAGCGAGCAGCGGGAGCGCGTCCGTGTGGCAGCAGCAGCGGGTGGGGAAGGCGCCGTCCCCCGGCCTCCCCCGGCATGGGTCGCTGCTGGGGCCGCCCCCCTCGCCGGGCCCGGCGCGCCCCCGGCCTGTGCCTGCGGCGCCGCCCGCGAGGCCTGTAGGGGCCGGGGGCAGCGGCGGCATGAGGAGCCGCTGCGGCCGCCGGCAGTGAATGGGCATCGCGGCGGAGCGGGAGCAGCCGGAGCCGGAGGCGCGGCCGCCGCCGTCGCGATGGCTCAGGAGAAAATGGAGCTGGACCTGGAGCTGCCGCCGGGGAGCGCCGCGGCCCCGAGCGACGGGGGCGGCCTGAGGAGATCCAACAGCGCCCCGCTCATCCACGGGCTCAGGTGAGCGCGGCCCGGCCCGGCCCCGCAGCTCCGGGGCTCGTTGTCCCGCGGGGCCCAGCCGTAGAGCGATGCAGGCCGACCCGCAACCAGCCGGGCCCTTGCGCTCCGGTGCTCGGCGCAGGCTGGTGCGCGGTGGAGGCCTCACGTTCCCGGTTTCGGGTCGGGGTGGCGGGTGGCTGCGGGAGGGCAGCAGCGGATCCCCGCGGGCTGCCGGGGAAAGTCGCTGGCTGCTGGGCGCCGTCTGTGAAAGTGGAGCTTCTGCCGACGTGAAACGGGTGTTTTCGGGCCCTGGGCAGCTGTAAGTGAAACACCCCTTAGGAAGCTACTCACAAAAGTTTATGTTCCATCCCCAGTGACAACTCGCAGGTTTTTCAGCCTTACGTGCTGCGAACTCGCAGGAACAGCACAACAGTTACGAGCCGTCACAGCATGGTGAGGAATCTTAAGCATGTTTGGTTTACACCTAACGAGAAGTCATTGAGCCGGAGAAATGAAGTTAAACTTGATTTATATTTGCACTGTGCATCCCAGCAACCTTTTAGGCTGTAGTATATGCGGGTTTTTCTAGCTGTAACTGCAACCTGCAGTGATAATGCTGGTGTATTATTACCTGTATGTCCCCAAGAAGACAACAGCAGCTGAAGCTGTGTGTGTGCTTCAGCTTAAAGTTAACTTGGACCTGACCATGGGTTGGAAGAGAAAACTGTTGTCATAGTTAAGTCTTTCAATTTGTTGTAAAAATGAAACAGGGGATTGAATCTTCACTGGCCTGTTTCTTTGATATTGGAAAAGGTGATCAACACATGTCAGAAAATGATTTAAAGAAGAATAATTTGCTGAGTGATGTGCTGCTCTCTCTTCTTTAAGTCTGACAGTAACAGTCCTGCTGTTTAACCTGGCAAAGATGGTACATTTCTCTTTGTTCCATCATATCAATTCAGGGACCTAAATGCTCTTTTCCACTGAGCGTTTTCTCTATCATCTTGAGGCTAGTCAAGATACAGTCCTACAGGCTTTGAGAAAAGCAGTACTTAAAGTCCTGAAATAGGATTCTCTTCTGTGTCTTGTTATGAGATTTCTTAGGAATAAGAGTAAAATTTTGGCACTCAAATCAGGTGTTACAGAGGACAAATGGGCATCCTCAGTGGGGACTGTTGGCCCATTTGTATGTGATGGTGGCCAAAGTTCCAGAGGAATGAGATGTGTAAAACTGGAGAATTGCAACAGTCAAGTTTTAGGGAGTGTTGTTCAAACCTGAGCTGAAACACTGGGATTTCTCCTTTATAATAGCCAGCTCCTTGAGTATGTTAATACAGGAGTTTGTCATCTCGTTCTGAACAGCAGGGAATTGTATAATGTTCATAGGTTCACTTAAAAAATCTCTCAGTTGTCTCATGGTAGTTTGTGTATTCGAGATGCTGAGCGGTATCCGCATGCAAGCTGAGCTCTGTGCCACTTGCTGAGTGATAGAATGAATTTGTAAGTTGTAAAACAAGTCTTCTCTCTTGAAGGTCAGTGTTTTCTTTTTGCGACATTACTTGAGTCATCCACGTGTAGTAGTACAGCTCGTTTTTAATTCACTAAGAATGCAGGTGGTGGTGAATAGGATGTATGCAAGGTGCTGAGATGTGATTTAATCATTGTGCCTGTCTCTTTTTTTCCTCAGTTGTTGTCATCATCTCCTATTCGTATTCCTAGTAGCCGACTTCATCAGATCAGAAGGGTGAGTGTAGGTTTTATCTGTGTATTTAGTAGCAGAATGAAAACCATTATATAATAATGGAGTTTCTTCCCTGTTGAGTTCTTCAAGCACTAGAGAAAACCCAGTCTTTTTTAAGGTTCAGTTCCAACAAGGAAGCTTCCTTGCAAGGTTTATTGTTGCTATGTGTAAGCTACCTTGCATTTTTGATGTATTGTTTCATTTAAGAGAAACTGAGCTGGGCTGGTAGCTCTCTTTTCTTTCTGGAGTGGTCCTGCTGTTTGCATTTCAATTCTAATGGCAAGTTACTGAATCATGAATGCTATTCCAACTACCTGTAAGAAAGCAAATGTTATGGGGAAACTGAGGATGTTTTTATCTCCTGCAGGAGGAGGGAGTGGATTTAATGAACCGAGAAACAGCCCATGAAAGGTGGGTGTTATTCAAACAAGATGATAAAATAGCCAGTTATCCTCTTTGTAGCTACTGATGGGGTTTTTTGTATTCTAGGGAAGTGCAGACAGCTATGCAGATAAGCCAGTCATGGGAGGAAAGCTTGAGCCTGGTAATCTTTTTATAGATGTTTCCTATTTAATTTACTATTACACTCAACTGAAGAATTTAAGGGAAAGAGAGACATTAACTGTGAAAGTAATTGAAGAAGAACTTAAGTTCATCTGCTTTAGCTTTTTTGCATTTGGCCCAATGACTTCCCACTAGAAGGTTGTGCCTTGGATTCAAAGGTAGTGTCCTGCAACAGTGTTAAGTCTGAAACCTTGTGTTTACAGAGCGACAATGACTTGGACAAGTCTGAGAAATCTTCCTCCCCAAAGAGAATAGACTTCATTCCAGTTTCGCCTGCACCTTCACCTACAAGAGGAATAGGAAAGGTAGGAAAAGTGAAATACCAAACTGAGAGAACACTTCAGAGTTTTAGCCCAAGGTGAACTATAAGGACTGTGTAACTTCACAAACTGATAGTTTTTAAGAAACCAATGACAAAACAAACCCACAACCCAAACCCACATTTTACTTGTTTCTGAGAATCAGATCTTTACCATCTTAGAGCTTGCAGAGTTTCGGGAGTTTCCCAGTTCTGTCACACTAAATGTTTGCAGTTGCTGCTGTCTGTGTGATGTTGGCATAGGTCAGGATTCTGGTTCTGGGGAAGCTGGAAAAGGTCATTATAGCAATCAGATTTGGACATGATCTTCAGCTGCCTAGGTGGGAGCTGCTGGGGAAGAAGCACCAACATTGGAATGTACCATGTATAGAGTAAGAATGTAAGCAAAGACTAGATGCTGCAGATCTGTGTGGTGAGGAGGATGAAAGTATATCTGTCAGTTATGGGAAGGAAGGCATAAATCACTGGGGAGGAGGACTACGGTGTGCACAACTTGCACTGAAGACTGGTGGCAGATGCTGGAGAAAGGGAATATATGTATTAGATAAACTGCTTTTTCCAGTGAGGATTGAAAAACAGAAATGCAGCACAGAGAAAGTGGGAACTGTGTTTATAGATGGGCTGATTGACCCTGTTTTCACCCTCTTTTGTGGTTCTGCTTTTGTACTGCTATATTTTATTACATGCCTCAGCTAGTATTGTTGGTGGTGTATGCATGGAGCATCACATTAGTGCTAAGTAAATGTGTTCCTAGTGTAACCCTGATGCTGACAACTGCTCCTGTACCTTTGGAATCACGACTGTAAAGCAGCACTAGATAACTGGACAGAAACCATTTTTGTGCTTAGGTCTGGGCATTTATGGGCTAAGCTCAAATGAGCTGCAGAACCACAGAGCTCTGTTCGATCTGGAATACTGTGTTAAGTTTTCAGGTCAGATGTATTTTGAGTCAACTCAACCTGTTTGTTTAACAAGTCCCTTGAAAGAAGCAAGTCCTGAGTACTGTACTGCTGCTTCTAAATGTAACAGGAAGACCAGAAACAGCTCTCTTATTTAGAAAACAGCTTCTATTTCCATTTCAGATTTCCTGTGGGTTTGAATTTTAAGTTAATCTCAGCGGGCTTGCTTTAGGCAGTCTATTTTTGCAAGTTAAGGTTTTAATACCTCTAGGGTTGTGTATTATCATCTCTGCCTTACGCTGTTACCAGCTTTTCTTTAAATGGGGATGTTTTGTTTGGAGGGTGGGGTGAAGCAGCTGAATATTTCAAAGGGAATTCTGAAGTACCTTCATGTGATGTTCTCTGCAGCAATGCTTTTCACCATCATTGCAAATGTTTGTGAGCAGTAATGGGTTACCTCCGAGTCCTATTCCCAGTCCAACAAGGCGATTCACCAAGTAAGTAACATCTACAAGGAGCAGGTATACATTGGCTTAAATTCCAGGGCTGGCATGAAGATTAGCTAAAGCTGATGTTAAGGCATTAAAAGTGATTTTAGTTTTGCAATAGCTGAAGTATTGCCATGTAAAAATGCTCTGAAAGTTCAGCCTTTACAAGTAGTAAAGCTTTATGTGGGTTCTCCTATAGAAGTCCGAGTCAACTTCAGCCTAGACTTGGTAACTTGTGGGGACATTCCTGGGTATTTCAAATGAACTTTAGCTTTTCCAGCATATCAATTTTGTATATTAAATGCAGTTTAGAAGTGGACATGATTGACATGAGGATGTGAGGCGCTAAGGGAAGGAGAAAGCCCTGGAAAATGTACTACAATTTTGTGTGGCAGATAATCTGCTCTAATAGCAGGCACTTTCTTTGTTATCTATGTGTTTAGACTCCCTAAGCATTCCAGTTGTGCAGGAATAGCTTTAAAGAACATTTTATGGTGCTGTGGTTGTGTTGATTTGATGTTAGGTGTGATGGAACAGGCCTGACTGAGTGTTGGTATTCTCTCTATAGCAGGAGGAGTCAAAGTCCTATTAACTGTATCAGGCCCAGTGTTCTTGGCCCCATTAAAAGAAAAGGTATGTGTATTTAAAGTATTAGATGTTTTATCTGAGCCCTATTGGGATGTAGTTTTGCAGCTGGGTGCATTTCTTTTTTCCATGTTTTTTTTTGTTCTGTAAATACAATGCACTTGTATCCATGGTGAACTGGAATTTGCCAACTGTAACTTAAAAATACAGTGGACAATAGGTAGTCTAAAACACAAGAATGAAAACCTTTAAAAGCAACAGTTACTTAAAAGAGGCAAACTTTATTACATATCGAATGCAATGTTACAAATATTCCTAAGGCCTGACATTCCTAAGAGTACCACTGTACAGTGCACACCCTTCAGTTCATCTCAGGAATGTTGCTTATCATGCACTATCTGCTAAACTTAGTACTGAATGTTTGTTTTCACTCTGAAAGTTCAGAAGGTGAGTGTTTGGAGAAGTGGAATAGATCAGTGCTTTCCTCCTGGAGGGGGGAAAACTGCATTCTTTCTTGGAAATATTCCATGTTAAGGATATTTAAATTACAGCCCAGAACAAGTCTCCGTAGTAGAACTGGGAGACTGAGATGTTTATGAGCGTGCCTCTAGCCATGCTTATTCTTTCTGCATTTTAACTTGGGCATTCTTAACTGCATAAAAAGCATCTCCCTTTATTTTGCAGGACTTGGCCTTCAAGAAAAGGTCCTGGTTAGTGTTGTTTTAGGGCTGCTTGTTCTATCAGATAACGAATGTTTTCTAACTTACATTGAGTTGACAGGGGAGAGAGGCAGGTTTTCCCATGGATGCCAGTTCTTTCTTGGCTGTTATTTTCTATGCATTTTAGAGGCATTAAATATTGAACACAAGTTTATCAGACTCAGTAAGGAATAAGTATTTATACTGCATTGCTTTACTTTCAGTGTTTTATGATAGGCTTTACCCAGGTTGTATTGTATTAAAAGCAGGTAAAGGGCAGGCTTTCTTCAGCTGTGTGCTCTTGTGGAGCATCTTTTATGAAGTGGAGGTAGGAGTTTGCCTTTTTTACTTGAAATATCAAGGAATTCTCAATGTTACGTAGATTTAAAACATCCAACCCATTTCAGTGACCCTCATTTCTTTTCCTAAGTACAGAATCCCTTTATTTCTGAATTTTAGCAGTAGCTTTACAGTTCGTACTCTATAGATGTGACACGGTAACAAAGCGACACCGTGACACGTGGGAGGAGGAAGCAATGTATTGAAGAACATTTCTAGAGGGAATGAATGCTGGTACACTGTGCAGTGTGTTGGAGCTGATTTGTCTTTGTGAAATTTGAACTTACTTAAGTTGGTGGTTTGGATATATTATAAATGTGGGGTTTTTTGCCCATTCAGCTTGATAGAAACTGTTATTCTTTCCCTTTGAAGAAGGGAATGTACTTCCATGAGCTAAAGAAAGTTTAGGGGGCTTATCAGTCTCTATAAACCAAGTGGTAGTATAATTCTCTTGCAGAACATATATTAATATGTACTTCAGTTTGCTATACTGCTTAACCTCTGTCAGCTTTTCAACCTGACACCACAGCTGTTGTGAAGTGTAGGTAAAAAGCCAGAACATTTCTTTCCATTTCATATGTGTTTGTTGCCAAACTAAAAATGAAAATGCACTGTAGCTGAAAGGGGTGTTTTTAAGCTTCTCATTGGCAAATTCATGATATTTCCAGATGTGTCTGTTGTACAAGGGCTGTTCACAAACCTGCTCATTCTCAGGGCAGATTACACTAGACAGATTGCATGAATTCTCCTCATCATGTTTAATCTCTTAATATCAGTAGATGATTACAGGTACAAAGATAGTCTGATCCACGATGAGCAAGTGGAAATGCATACCCATGCCATTTTGTTTTCTCTTCAGCTTTTCTGTAGCAGTGTACGTATGCACCAGAATTTGTTGTCTGCAGGAGCGTGAAACTGTGAGCCAAGCTGCCATTCCTGCTTTCATAATCGCCAAGAACTTTAATCTCCCTATTTTGGCTTATGTCAGCCTCTTCATCTCAACTGCTTACTTAAAATTAAGTCACAGTGATTAGTTTGCTTTAGATTATTTTGCCTGATTATAGTCCAGGTAGCAAGTGCCTAGTTTTATGTCATTGGGATTGTTGTAGCCCCTCAGATACTGCTGAAGCATTGATTAAATTAAGGATGGACTGGATGGTTATACAACAGCATGAAATGAATGTCTTACCCAAGTGCTTGGCCTGCTGAATGAGAGGATTTGGGTTACAATAGCTTTGCACTGTCATGGGACAATCCTGTATTTTACCATAGACGAATGTTAAATGGACAGACATTCCAGAGGCTCAAGTGAGTTTGATTATTTGCACTGTTTTCCTTAGGTGAAATGGAAACTGAAAGTCAGCCAAAGAGACTTTTTCAAGGAACAACCAACATGCTTTCTCCAGATGTTACACATCTGACCGATCTGAGTTCATGGTAACTATTTCATGTGCCCTGAAATGCCAAAATGGGGAGTGTGCATGGATCACAAGTGTTCTTGTTTGTTTTCCAGGGAGAAATAACTCTCCATATAGCTTGTATATGCATGTTACTGGGAACTGCTCCTGTGGTAGTGTGACAGTGTTCCTGTTCCTTTGATCAGATCTTCCTGAGCAGACTGTAACCTAGATTTTGTGTATCAAAGCCTTTATACTGAATCTGATTGTTACAAATCCCTGTTGGTTCATAAGCAAAGTTCTTTTTTGAGGATGCTTCATTATTTCACTGTGTTGTAGGTGGTGCTCATACAGTATCTGTGGTATTTTGTCTGCATAGTCAGAAGATGTGTGTGAATAGTTACTGTGCTTACATAGTTCATGTTTTTATTTACGTTTTTTAGCGGTACAGTCTCGTTTATCAGGATTCATTAAAAACTGAGTTCTCTTTTGTGTCAGAAGTCAGAAAATAAGCATTGTAAAATACCAACTCTATGACTACAATTTCAGTGTACCTACAGACTTGGAACTGCTTAGAGAGATTTTGTTTCATGTTGCTTCCAGCATAAATGATAAAAGCATCCATTTATGCCCTCTGGAATCTTTTATCAAGACTTCAAAATCCAAACACCAGGATTCCTTACAAGGGCAAAACAGGTTTCAAAATGTTGCTCTGAGTAGCACAACATTAAAGAACATAGTAGCTAATAATGACATTGTTGCTGCATTGCTGATTAGGTTGTTACTATTCCTTTCTATACTTTTTTTAAGGTTTTATTCGTTGTTATATCCTTTCTATGAGTGATTCGAATGAGAGTGATGATTTATTCTGCATGTTAAAAAGAAAAAAGAAATTCTGCTCCTCATTCCCATAAGGAGCATGAATATATCTGTAACATGCTACAGAAAACAAGGAGTCTTCAGGGCTGCCAGTCTTGCAGTAAAGGCTGAGTGGTAGTATAGGTCTCCTACACCTCTACAAGGCAACAGTACATTGGCTTTGCGCCCATAGTCATTGTGCCCCTGTTGCTAAAGAACTTTTCCTTCTTCCCCAGCCTGTCTTCAGATATTCTTGATGGGAGCAGCAGCAGTGTTGGCTCGTCCTCTGACTCGCTGACTAAAGGCAGCATAACCACAGAGTCTCCAGTGACATGCTCCAACTCATGCTCTTCGTTCATTCTGATGGATGATCTCTCACCTAAGTGACTTAATCTGTGTCTGGTTGTGCTGTTTCCTCACTGTACACTCGTACAGAGAAATGAACTCTCATTCTTGAACCATTAACATAAGGATTACTGAAAGAAAACTATTCTTGTTCCTTTAATCCTTGGTGACTTTCCAGTGATTTTGATATTTTTCCATTTAATGGACGTTGTAGACCATATTAATGTCTGTTTTTGCAAATTTGTGGTTTTTTTAAACAAGATGTCTGCTCAGATTATACTAACTTTTTGCTTTCAGGAACTTGCATACACAATTTGATTCCAAGAATAGGTATCTGCCTAGTAGTGTTGCAATTTGTAGGAGAATTACTTCTATTATTATTGTGGTCACTATGTCTAGGGAAAGAATTTGATTTGGAGGGATTTGAAAAAGCTGATTTATTCTCTGGCACTTCTACCACTGAGTAAAAATATTCTCCTTGGTGTTTTTTATCTTTAGTCACTAGCTAAAAATTCTTCTGTGGAAGGAAGGATAACCTTTTCTTAGTGCTGCTAGTCGTTTTTCTTACAGTGGGTGTGGAAATCTCCCTCTCTTACATTAAAAACCCACAACAAAATGATTGGCACTTTTGCCGCCAGTGAAGAAATAACAGTACTCTACAAACATGATTAAAATGGCTGCATAGTTCTCCCCCCAGATCCTTTACCCTACAGATTTTATGAAATGAGGTCAATATTCAGCAAGGTTTGGCCAAGGAAAATGAATCCATGCCTCCATCTAAGACATACAGTGCAGATAACAAAGTTATTTAAACTACTGTGTAGGAGAACCATGTTTGGCACCGCCGATGTCTCCCGTGGCATTGAGGTCAGAGGTATTTTTGTGCCTTAGGGGGGCATTGCTACAAAATGATGGAATGTAAAACCAGAGGGGTGGGTGGGGAAAACCCTTTTATGTACAGCTTCTCATAGGGTGCTCACCAGAACCTGTCCTGGAGGCTGCTTTCCTTAGTGCTGCTCTCCGAGTGCTGTGGGCAGCCCCAGAGAGCAGCCGAGGTGATGCCCTCTGCAGCTGCATTTACACCTCCGTTGGTCCTGAGCAGGGCAAACAGCTGAGCAAAGATTCCATTTCTAAGGAAAGACTGAAAAGTTTGGATTGAACATGAGCTCTGAGTATTGCTTGGCTTATGTATGAGCTCTGAGCAGGCTTGCTACAGTACCTTGGTCAGGCTGAGGTAAGACAAGAGATATTTTACTTTTTAAAGACTTTAACGGGGCAAAATAAATCCGTTTGTAATCTACTGTGTTATGCTATTTATTATTTATAACTATGTAAAAAGTCTGTGGTGATGAATTATAGTATTTTTTTATGATTGAATAAGTTTTTTATGTTCAGTAATTGCTGGCTGGTTTGTATTTAATACGCAACGTTGTCTGCCAGAATCATAAGCTTCCGGTTTTGAATGTTTGTAACATAAATGCTTTTATTACCTAAAAGTACAACTTCTGATCTTTCTGAAAGAAAACAGCACTGAATTTCAAGGAAGATGATGTGCTTGCAAAGGGAGCACAAGCTCTGGCAATACTGTCTGGCTAAAAAAAGGGGAGGGGGACAACCATAGTTCTTTGTGTTCTAAAGAAGCCATTAAGTTCCCAGGAGACATGTACATACCAGGTTATTTTTCCAAGTGTTCCCATTCGATTGTAAGCAATCCCATCGTGGGCCAACAGTGGCACTTTTATTTGTATTCTCCTTTTTCACCTGTGGAGCATTAGTTCCCCACCTTGAATAAATGTGCATATTGTAAAACACTGTCCATTGGTGCCATTTTTAAAGGAGCTCTACAGGAGTAAATGTTCAGTTTATTTGGATATGCCCAGTGCTATTTCTTGACCTTTTTTGATTACTTAAATTGCTTAAATATTTTTGTATCCATGCTTGTATCCTCTCTGCTTTTCTGGTGCTAGCAGAAGGCTGCATTGACATCTGCAGGGCATTGGTAAGTGGTGTCTGTGATAAAATTCAGCCTGGTGCCTGTGCCCCAGTTTCATCATAAGAGTGCTTTTAATGGGACTGTGGTGTAGAAATCTGAACAGGGGGTGTCAGAAGGGGGAAACCTATTGCATGCTTTCCTACAAGTGAGAAGAGCACAGCGATTGCTTAGTTTTGGCTGACTTACCTGTACAAGGGATGTATTCCAGATTTGTTTGTTAGTGGAGAGTCTTCTACAAGTGCTGGCCTTTGTAAACATGAGAATGTAAGCTTTGTAAAGCAAACACACATATACTCTCGTTACAGCCAGTTTTGGAATGTTCTGGCTATTCCCCACTCTTCAGAAGTCATTGCTCTTTTATAAACTATGGATGTAGCACAGACACAGGCTGTCTCTTATTTCAGAGTGAATGGCATGGTGCAGTGCAGTAGGAACCACCTTGGATCACGTTCTCTTTTACGTTCATAGCTGTAAGACAATGTGTTCACTTTAAAACTGAGTTTTCCAATACTTTAATAGCTGATGTTTGCACTTAACTGCACGTGAGCTGCTGCTGCAGAACCCATCTTTGTGGCAGTGTGAAGGCTAGTACAGCACACTGGCTAAAACCGAGTAGAAGGTGCACTTCTGGCTCTGTAACTGGCTTGTCTGTAATGAATTAGGTAGCAGTGTGGGGAAGCAGGGCAGCTGGGGCTGGTAGTCAGTTTTAATCTATAACTACTGACACATTTCACTGGTTTTTATGACCTCACCAGACTTACTTATGCTGAATTGCCATATGGGTGTCTGAGAATTCCTGTCTTGCCTCTTTGTTTTCAATAAGGAGCCATTAGTGCAGATCTGTTGCTGAGAATCACCAGTGATGACTTACCTTTAATGTTGTCACTGTTGAGAAGCAAATTTCAAATACCAGTGTAATTCCAGCAGCATTTCAGCTGGACTTTTTAATGTGTTCATGAGCACAGCATTGTGCTGTTGGTCTTTGACTAGCACTGCCTTTAGATCCGATCTGAACCATGCTGAATCCTCATTTCATGGGCTTAAAATGCTGGAAGGGTTTTACCAATGCTTTATAGAGAAATGTGTGTGTCAGCTGTGGAACTCAGTGTTTTGATAATATCAAGTGTTCTGAATCAGGAAATGGATTGCAGTGTGCATGTTTCATTCTCCTTCATTGAATTTCAAATTGGGGATCATGGGCCCAAAAGCCTGTATTTAAGGGGCTGTTTTCCTGACTGTATGTGATTAAATACTGTCTTCTACAATGAGAGTAATTAAACTGTCAGTGGGTGAGGATGTAAAGCTGAGTTCTGCAGACTTTATTGGAAAACTCCTTGAAATACACGAGGAAAGCTATTGCTAGGGTTTGGGGGTTTTCAGTAATGATAAAAATAGAGCACTCATTTTAATGGTTCAACATGCTAAACCCATTTGAAATGTAAGGCTTCAGCTTGGCGTGTTTCTCTAGCCAGACCCACCTTGGGGGCTGTATGCAGAGGTTAACCTGAGCAGGCTTAGGAGGATGTGGACCTTGTCTTCTGGTGCACCAATACAATAGACTTGGGAAATCATGTTTGCAAATGCATTCTTATCTGTAGACCCTCCTTACGTATTTGTGACAAGGAAGGCAAGAACTTGGTTTTCCCTGCAGGGATTTCATCTGCCTGTAATCTTCCCAGTAACTCCATAATAAACCAGCTTTGCACTATCATGGGTTCAAATATTTCATGAAGTCATAAGATTGTTTCATTTGCTTTTGTGGAGTAAAGGCCAAGGGATTTTTTTGGAGCGGTACAAACTGCCTCTTGTATTCCAAGGCTGTTATGGGAATGGCAGCTCTCCCATAGTAAGTGGAAAGGGATTTTGCCCGCCATTCACTGTTTCAATCTCTCTTGGGATCTTAAATAATCCTCAGCAAAGTCAGTGGTTGATACAAGTTGGGTCACTGGAGGTACCAGTCAGGAGGAGGTAGGAACCAGCTGTTTTACCCCTGAATGCAGACCTAGCTGATCCAACTCATTTTCAAATGAAAAAAGGCATTTTTCAAGCAACTGAGGCTTTCAGAACAGTCCAGGGTGTTCAAACCTATAGGAGAAGACTCCCTGTTGGCAAGCCTAGCACTGTTCTGCTCAATCCAGCCCCAGAAGAGCAAGTCAGTCAGAAGTGGAGTTGCAGTTGTCTTGGGTTTAGGCATCATGGGAGAGGGCAGGGAGCTGGGGGAGGGCTGGTTATCAAGGACCTTTGCTATCAGGCTAAACTCAGATGCTGTCTTAGGGCAAGAATGTTTTCTGAGGGAGTAAATGAGGTGGTTTCAGCATGGTAAGTATGGGGTTGTGGATGGGGAGCCCTCCTGTAAGTGGGTTGTGGTGGCTGCTGGCCTGGCGCTGCCATTCCCATAAATACAAACGCACCCAACTCCCACTTTCAACTTGTGTGTGTACCTCAAGGCTATCCTTTTATTAGTGTACTGGGCACTTAAGGAAGTCTCTTGTTTCAATCCAAACCTTTATACATTAAAGCTGCTTTTTATTACTTGCTTTTAGATCTTAAAGCCTTTTGATATAGGGTCTACTGGGCTTTGGGTTTGAGTCTCGCCTCTGGTTAGCATACCAGGGCCAATGTTTTCCTTTTAAACCTGGAGCAGTTTGTTTTGTGCCGCTTGCATTATAAAGCTAGGAAATGCAAAGCAGGTAGGTCCCTGCTGTTAAAGAATGCACGTTAGCTTTGGTGAACATGAAAGGCTGGAGGTTTAGAAGAAATAACACCTGAAAGCGCAGAAATAACCTATTTTTAGTGAACCAATGCAGCTGGTTTGATACCAGACTCTATTTTTAACTGCAGGCAATAATCTTTTGCATATATCATCAGTAATACAACACAATCCAATATGCTTTCACCCCCAAACGCTTCTCCTTGCTATAAGGAAGAACTTGCCACTTGAAAGGCCACAAGATGTGTTCATCTGCCACATGGTTACAGCCCTATGTGTTTCAGCAGGGCCCTTTGGGACACCAGGCTATGAAGCATCTCCTTTCTGCCCCAAAAGCATCACCTTACACTGTAATTCCAACACCTTTAGTCCCTTTTAGCTTATTTCTGAGGGCCATGAGATCTTTACCTCTTATACAAACACAATATATTGCTGTTAGGTTGACTGTGGTAATGTTCCTTGTGCATTTGTGCAAGTCTCTTGTGGGGTATAAGAGATTTTGGGATATGGGGTTGTTTTCCAGGTAAGGCAATGTGTCTTGTCTGGAAGATCTCTCTGGTGTTACTTCTGTGAGGCATTTGGCTATGGTTTGTGCAGGAGTAACTCCTGTTTACCACCAATGAACCCTGGAGGCAATGACATGTGCTTGTTTGTTCAGAGCTTGACTGCTTTAACCCATGCAGCACCTAAAGAAACCTGCGTCCTGCTGCAGCCCCCAGCGCGCCGGAGCTTCCACCAATGCAAAGTAAGTTGGCAGAAGTGCCAGGCTGTGATGTGTATGGGGGCAGTTTGCAATGCACGCCATGGAAACCCCATTGTGCTTGGACAGTAAGGTTTTCCTTGCCCCACATTGTGACTTAAATTTGTCATGAGAGCTATAATGGTTTATCTGCAATGTTCAGTGTGGAATGTTAGGATCTGTAACGTGCAGGTGGCATCAAAAACCATGGGCCATAGTAGAATAAAGGGTGATGCTAAAGTTAGCTGGTCCAGACTGGAAATGTAGGATCTAGCCTCTGCCAAAGCAAACCCTTTGCTCTACACACCTCTAAAGCTGGGGGAGAAACTCAGCTCCTGCCACAAAGAGCAGCTCAGCCTCAACCCTGGAGAAGTGTCAACACTTCCCAGTACATAGAACCATGGAATGGTTTGGGTTGGAAAGGACCTTAAGACCATTCAGTTCCAACCCCCTGCCATGGGCAGGGACACCTCACACTAAACCATGGCACCCAAAGGCTCTGCCCAGCCTGGCCTTGAATGCTGCCAGGGATGACCAGAACCTCCAAGAATGTGGACGGAAAATAGATGTGACCATGGGAGCTAGGATCCAACTGCCTCTATGGCTGTGATGAGTGAGTATTGGTTTGGAAAGCAGTACAGAGAACAAAGTAGGGTTGGGACAAATGTGCTTGAGGATGTGCCACGCATTGGATGTGTAGCATCTTGATCATGTGCAAGAGCAGACTGTGAAAGAAACAGCTTTGTGTGGGAGAAGTGACATCAAAACCCCAAAGAGCCAGTGCTGTAATAGGAAACATTCGCCTTTTGAGGACTGTTATTGCTGCTGGTCACTTCTACTTATTCCTTATTCTTTCCCCCTCCTGTAGTAAACCCCAGCAGCATGAGCAATGTGAGGCAGCTCGGGTAGGGTGGGCCAGATGGGCAGCAAGGAGGGGTGCAGAGGGCTCGCTGAACTTGTGTGGACTTCCTTTCTGCCCCCCTTACACTCGGTTGCATCAGCTTTGAAGGTTCTGGTTGCATTTGCTGGCTGACCAAAGCAGGGCTGGATGCTCCGGATAGTTACTGAGCAGGGTTGCCAGCTTCCGTCAGACATGTGCTGGACACCAGCAGGCAAAACTCATGGAGGGAAAGGGAAAATGAGAAGGGCATTGAGGGTGCAGGAGTGGGACAAAGATGCCCCAAAAGCTGTGGGGCAGTGGGCGTCAGGGGGACTTGGTGGCGCAGAGTGCCATAGTGGAGGAGCAGGAGGAGGAATTCACCCAGCAGGGATGAGCTGGCATGGCATGGCACGAGGCTGGTGTTGGCTGTGTCCAGCTCTGGGGTGACAGCAAAAGGGGACATGGAGCTGTTGGAGCAAGGCCAGAG